TATAGAGCCAAAGATGTTAGAATTGTGTTGATGTCCCAATATTTCTGGACCTGACTGTATACCTGCAAAACTGTTTCAGAAGTCTGCATCACAGACATTTATACAATGGCTGTCTCTTCTAGCTTGATGTTATGCCATATTTCATAAGAAAAAAATCTGGTATTCAATGAAGAAATCAACAGTCCTAAATATATTACACTGATATTCCCAAATTACTGCTAAACAATTGAAGAAAAAGTGTTCCATAATTGCCCTGGACAATCACAAGATCCAAAGCTTTGATCTTCACTCATCTGATCAATCACTAGACATATTCTAATATGAAATTAAAATCATTGTGCATTAATTACCCTGAATAAACAAAAGCTTGCAACTCTCTTTTATAGGCATCTCAAAACAGCTTACCTTTGCTTTTGTCACTTCTGAATCCATGGGGTGGTTTGCCTTGAAGATTTTCTGAGCTTCCTGCTGTGGCCTGCAGAAGAACATCAGATCAGTGATTCAGGCCCTACCTTTCTGTTATCCATCCTCCTGTTACGTGTTTTCTACACCTCAGCCATACATGGTGGCAGTGGAACCATTCACTTAGTCACTGTGGCAATTTTAAAATGCAAAGATAAAATACAAAAAAAGAAAGGCAGAACTTTGCCAAGGTTACGTGTATTTTTATTTACTGATCATTCTGCTGGAGAGTTCTAAATACTACCCCCCAAAAAAACAAACCCCACCTCATGTCCCCTCTTCTCTCACAAATACACAAACTATCATTTGTGAGTCCTCATTTCCAAATGCTTCATATTACGTAAACTTACAAACTGAGTTGTTTCCAGCGCTGGAAAAAGTCTTGTGACTGCATCTCTGTTGCCTGGAAAAACTTGTTGACGGTAATAGGCAACTTAAGAGTGAGATTCTGCAACGTCCCACCATAGCTGTCAGAAATGAGAAGTGAGGATAGACCCGTAAGATGGCATATTTAATAACATTATTGACAACTTTAAAAAGGGGATAAAGGCAAGAGGGATGAGATTATCAGTAACTACTGGCCATATCCATTTCCTAGGATTAGAGGCCCCTGACTACCAAGAGTGGAACCAGGTTCTTGGGCTTGTTTCCTGTTGGGGGCTTCCTGGTATATTGACCAGTCTGAGCATATTTTGTAAGAATTAGCAGAAGCATGGTGTAAGAAGGTGAATTCATGGCCTATGGAATAAAAGACTGACAAAATACAATTCATGGAAATGTAGGAGAAGAGGGATGAAGCAAAGCAAATGTGTGACAGGGCAAGGAGTAAGATGTTAAAAAGGGCATATAGGAAGTACTGCTTGTTAAGTTTTGCCCATACAGGTAGTCCTCACTTAATGACCACAATGGCAACCAAAAAATTGG